GTGGGGGGGGGGGGGATTTCGGGGGGGGGGTGAGGGATAGTGCCAGCGGAAAGTGGCGTAGCTAAGGTGGGCTTGTGGGGTATAGGTCCCCCTTGCGCCAGATAGTGGGGGCACCTAATGGGCTTTTATTGTATTATTGGATGAAAATAATGGATTTCAGAGGTAAAAGGGGGGGGGGTGTACACAAGAATCTTGCTTCCAGGCACCACACACTCATGCCAGTGACATAAACAGGGGGGGGGGGCGAATAGTTGGTCTGCCCAGGGGTCATTTTTTTGTTATACTGAGAGTTTATATCGTGAAAGGTAGCGTGGCAAAGTGTTAACCCGGCTAAAGTGGCGCTAACACTAGGCGCGCTGATGGGCAGTGGATAGATCGGCGCCAAAATGGGTTGTCAGGGCAAGCAATACTGCCATTTTAATCAGGAAGTAGGGCGGAAATTGAGCATCCCGATGACTTTCACTTAACCAGAAAATTTGGGATCATTTAAAAATCCAGAGATGCATTCTAAAGTGTACATAATTTGATTGTTTTGATAAGACTATTTGATCAGGGGAAAGAATTTTTCCAGCGCTGAGGAAGGCATCATGTCGCTCATTGCCATACATTCTGGTAGTGGTGCGCCCAAGATAATTATTTGACACACGATTAGATTCAACCCCGTTAAGTCACGCTGAGTGACGCCAAGGAAGGGGGTAGCAGAAATTAAGGAATCCGAAGAGTCTTGAGCAAAAGTGGGGGCAGGGGGGGCAGGGGTCCCCTTAATTAAAAACAAATTAAAAATGCAGTGATGCTCATTAGTGCCTATTTTAATCCACTGTTTCTCTTAGACAATTTGTAAAGGGCTTCCATATTTTTACTATTAGATGTCTCCCGGAGAAATGCTACGAATGAAACATCAACAAACACAAACTATTTGTGGACTACTAAAGAGCTTATGGTAGCGTAAACAGGAAATACCTAACAAAACTAACCCGGCTCATAGATATGGGCCCTACAGGGCCCTAAATGGGATATAGCGACACTGATTTCAGACTTTCCAGACTTTTGGATGGGAAGCGCTAAAAAAGCCATAATGACAGGGTCATCTCTAAGTCTTCCACTGGTCAAACATGAACTAAATGCATTTAAGTTGAGGGCCTTTAAGGGTATCCTTTTTCCCATTAGATACTGCATAGCCTAGCCACGCCACTTACATCTTTATAGTCTCCGGAATTTTTTATAAATAAATTTAAAAATGCAAGAATGCATTTTTGTACATAGTTAAAGTTAGTATTGCATCATTATACCTTATACACTTAAATGGAGAGCAATGGGAGAAATTCTAGTTAAGATTTTAGGTGTCACTCGACCTCAGATCCATCGTGTGGGTTCTGCAGCCCGTACAGCTGAATGGGGCTCACTCAGTATAGGTTGTGCTGTAAATACTTTTAATTATCAACTTTTAATGCTAGATAAAGAAGGACAAAACCGAACAGTAACAAAAAATCAAGCAACGTCTCTGCTTGAGCCGGTGTGTTATACAAATATATATATATATATTTTTTTTACTGAATAGTAATGAGGTTTTTTTTTAAAAATTTTGTGATAACCTACTTAAATTAAAAAAAAAAGCATTTAAAATAAAATTCCTTCCAAAAAGGTATTTATAACAAAAAAAGAATTGCTAAAATAATTTTACACGTTGAACGAAAAAGAAAAACCAAAACCATACGTTAATTTCTAGATATTTCCAAGTTTTACCAGGTCAAAAAGAGAGAAAAAAAACTCTTGTGTAAAAGGGCTTTATATATTTTTATGGCTTTTCAAAATTGGTACGTTTTGTAAATCGTATATAACTGGCATAATTATATTAAGAAGACATCAGTTGTTTACAAAAGAATTCATATATTTATTAGTGTGTGATTTTATTTGAGGGAAATCGTCTAAAAATAAAGTTTAAATTCCCAATATTCAGTTGATTGAAATGTTGGTTTAGATTTTCAAGCTACTGTAACTTTCTTTATATCAACTACAAATTTCGATACACCTAAAAAATTATTTGTACCAAAACCATATAATTTATTTTTACTATTACTACACAAAAAAAAAAAAAAAAAGAAATTTAAAAAAAATTATTTTAAAAAAAATATTATTTTTTTCGTAACAATATTATGTCTACGACTACTCATGTCATTTTCTCCATCACACATTACAAGATTATGTCTGCGACTACACAAGTTACTGACATGTGACAAGTGGCAAGTTACGTTCAAATTCCAACACCTCTCTCATCTTGTGTGGAACACTGTCCGCTTCGCCACCCGAGGAGTCTTCTAGTCTGACAGCTCAAGAAAGATAACCCTAGGTAAAGCTGTCCATATCATTTCGTGAATATTCTCCCTGTTTTAGGGTTACACCAGATGACATTTCAAAACTAGCCAAAATTTGGCGACCACTGTGGAAACTGTAAATATTTACTAAAAACTAAATATGAGTTTGCTAGAGTTTAATATATTTTTGTGAAAGTAGTTAACACTTTTGGTAGAATCGCGCTGAGAGCTGAGATGTTGACTTTGTAAACCACGTATGTTGTATGTGTGGCCATTTTTTGGAACGAAACATTTTTTTTCGCGTGAAAGATTTTAGCTTTTTAACAATTCCTTATGACGTTAATAAATTCAAATACTTCCTGAAAAATGATGATACAATTTGTGATTCAATTTCCTGTGCTTCCATGCTGTCAATGAACTGACTGCAACTTTCACACGCTTTGTTTATGTTCTCGGCATCAGCCGTAAAGAGGCAAGAGAGTTGGGTTTTCTGTGGTCAGTGTGAGGGGAACCAAACCGTAGACAATGTTTGCCCCGACACACTGGCTTTGGGAAAGTTGTCCTAAATTTGTTTGATCTTGCGGACTTACTGATACAAGAGTCTCTCTCCATAAGTGCCCCAGATAGTCCTTCGTCCAATGTGTTGTGTTCTTTACTAATGCTCGTGTAAATAAATTATCTTCCAATATCTGAAAGTCAAATGTGTTTATTGAATCTTCATTGTTACATTTTATATTACTAAGGCAAAACCGGGGGCAGTTGTTTTTGGTTTTTTTACACCAGATCCTGGTCTTTTGAGAAAATAATCGAACGGTCAAAGTGTTATTTTAAAAAAGTTAGCTTTTCATTTTCTATAAACAATAGGCCTACAGTTTTACACCCTACCTGCCGGCATTTAATACAATAAAGCTGCAGAAGTCCTAGAGACAGTCCCACAGACAGTCCTACACTATAGCCGTGGCTCTTTATTGACTAATATATTAGTAATAGTTGCATCCGAAAAAGTTCAACCTTTTCAACTGAGTTCAACCTTTTCAACTGAGTTCAACCTTTTCAACTGAGTTCAACCTTGTCAACTGAGTTCAACCTTTTCAACTGAGTTCAACCTTTTCAACTGAGTTCAACCGTAACGCATGACGTTTGCCGCTTGAAAGGTTTTTATATAAAACATGTTGAGTAGGGTGAGGGTCTGTTGTGAAAAGGAAGCAGCCATACCAGAAGCAAAAGATATTTAATATATGGTATTTTAAAAAAAAAACAACAACAATTGGCTCTTAATTAGAAAATACCCATTAGTCTAAAAGAAACTGAGAGAAAGAAGTCCCCGATTGAACAATAATGATTTTAAGATTTACTGCGTAGCCTATCACTAATCAGACGCAAGAAAGCCCGAAATTTTACCAACAATTTATGCTACCACAACACTGTTTCCCACAGTCGGGTCTTAGACGGCCAATGTTAAGATTAGGAGGG